CAGACGACAAAGGCAGCCGGTGCTGGGGCAGGTTAGATAGCAACTATCTGTCTGTCTTGAGAACTCACCTGTGAGCTTGGTGAGTCACAGAACCAATGGGCTCATCCAGCCCTCACCGACTTCCACGACTCCATGTCACTGTGATGTCCTTTACTTATTTCACATATGCCATAAATTCAAGTCGAATAAAAACTTGGTTGCATTGTAAATAATGAAAAAGAGCAGAAAAGGGGCTGACTGTCGCTGCTGATGGAATTAATGGAAAATTGAAGAGGTAGAAGAAAACTGGGACTCTTACCAAGAAAATATTTTTTTGAAGTGAATTTTTTAATCTTTCTGTTTTAGACTTAATTAAGGGTTTTAAAGGATCACATATTACCTTGTGGACTTTATTCACCCCCTTTTTACCTCATACCCTCTCAGCCCACCTTCCCACCCCAGCTGTTTGCCACAGCAACCAGGTGGCATGTATATGTCACCTGACAGCATCTGCTTCAGGGACACTGCAGCCCCCTCGCCTCCTGGCCCAGGGACCCTGCCTCTGCCCCTGGGGATCCTGTGTGGGGGGCGCCCAGCCACTCAGCCATGACGACATACTTGCAAGCTTAGACATGTGTGGGAACAAACACGTGGGCTCACTGGGCAACTCTGAGTGATGAATGGGGAGGGGGTCCGTGTACACTCTGAGGTGCACCCCACAACCCCTGGAGGGCCCAAGCGGGGCTGAGTCCCAGCTGCCCACAGTGAGGGTCAGCTTGACAACACTTCCCTACCCCCACGCCTGATCCTTGGGACAACTTCCCCAAATCAACCACCCACTCACAGCCATTGTGTCAGGCTCTGTTTTGAGGGGGAACTCAGCACTTACACTCTTTAGTTATGTATTTCTGTGCTTTCTTGGGAAGCATGTTCTATCTACACTTGTATTTCAGGATTTGGGGAGTTGAGACAATCTTGCACCCATTATTCATTTAAAAAACATTTGTGTGGCAACTATTATATGCGGAGCCCTGTCCCATGAGCGAGGGCTAGAGATAATATGTGAGGTTTTCCTTGGAGGGGCCTGTTAGTGAACGCTAGTGAACGCTACGAACTTACAGGATGTCAGGGCCTGCTCCGGGTGCTTAGTAATCCTCATGGTGCTCAACCATCATGACAGCCCTATGAGGAAGGAGTCGTCACCCTCATCTTTATAGGCGAGAATGCTGAGAGTGCGAGATGGTTAGGAACTGACTCCCTTCACCATCACTCTACGCCGACAGCATGTCCAGGGTACAACGGGGGAACCGGGATTGATTGCAAGTGCTAGCTGTCCAGGCAGGTGGGTGGCTCACATGGCTCCGAGTTGGGGGTGTCTGCAGCCTGGGCTCGTGGGGACTCACAGAGCAGGAGGGGAACCACAGGGAAGAGGCGTGAGCAGGGCGCTGCGCAGCGGGCAGTGCAGGCACCGCCGAGGTCTTTCGGCTGAGGATACGGATGTTTCCCATGGTGAGGTCTGTGCTCCTTGTGAACGGGGCAGAGCGCACGTCACTGCCAACTGCTCCTCCCCAGCCTCTGCTTCCTTTCCGCCCAGGCCCTGGCTCTGCAGCCCTGGGGTTTGGAGGGGCTTCTGCAGGAATGATCAAGGAACTCAGAAGGTGAGGTTCCGGGTCTGGACTCTGATGCTGTACAGGGGTAGGAAGGGCTCCCTTCTGTGTGCGTGCATGCGTGTGTGTGTGTGTGTGTGTGTGTGTGTGTGTGTGTGTACAGAGGGACATGATTTCTTCCTGTCCTAGAAGGATCTTACAAGGATCGTCACGCATTTGCTGGAATCAGCCAGCATCTTTCCAGGCATCACAGGACGCTATTGCTTGTGGCCCCCAAAGGCAGCCACATCTCTCTCGAGGACCCGCGCTGAGAACCTGGTCTGTGCTCTCCCTGAGGACAAGCCCTCTGCTTTCCTGGCAAATCCATCAGTGATCGAAATCAAAGCATGCAGAAACTGTAGTTGGTTATTGAAAACCGCCTTAGATGGATCCATCCCTAGATGATGCATGGTTTCTCCTGGGGCACTGTGGGGTGTCGGTGCCAGGACTTTTACCTGGGGCTGAAAGCACTTCACCACAGCAGGAGTCCGGGGACCAGGCAGAACACAGGGGACAGAGCTGGCAGAAGGCAGGTTGTCCTCATCCTCTCATCCCCTGCCTCCCTCCCCCAATCCCTTCCACCCCTCCACTTCCTCCTTCCCTGGGTTCTATAGGTTTGCTCCTTCTTTCCTTTTTCCACCTTTCCTTCTTCTTCTTAGTCTCCCCTTCTTCCCTAGTCTGTCTCAAACCTGGCTTAGGACAATTAGGGGCCTCCACAGAATGATTCACATGCACTGTAAATAGTTAATAATCTCATTTGAAAAAAAGACTTTGGTTAAATGCATAGTTCTCTGTAGGTGAAAGGTGAGATTTCACCCCATCAGTTATAAACTGAGGGGCTACCTATTGCCTGGGTTGAAGCTCTTGTACCCTGTAGCAGTCAGAATAGTTTCAGTTCTGCTGCAGTAACAAACAACCCTCACATCTCATGAACTTAAACAGCAAAGGTTTGTTTATGTACACATACCAGATACCCACAGGGTCATCAGTGGCTCTGTTCTTTGTCTTCATTGTCCCCACTCTGGGGTCCAGGCTGATGGAGCAGCTACTCTCTGGAGCATTGCAGGTGACCACATCACGAGTGTTCATCTTTCATTGGCCCAAAGTGAGTTGCTGGGCCAGCTGAACTTTATTAGGGTGAGAAATTATACTGCTCATTCAGGGAGGATGTAGATGTTGTTGAACCATGCTACAACCTACCAGACAGCCCCGTGCACGGGTTCAGCCTCATTCATGTGCCTCTAGCTTTAATGTATCCTCAGCACCTTGCAGCCTCTGACTCATATTCAAGGTGGGAGTTTTGTTAAGACAAAAGAGGGGCAGGTTTAGAGATGGTGTTGGTGCAGAAGCAACCTGCTCTGCCTCCATGTACTTTGCTAGTTCGGAGAAGCTCTGCTAACACAGGGAAAGGTTTGATTAGAACCGCTACTCTCTTTACCTGCGAATTATAGCTACTAGCTGCAACTCAAGGAGTTAGTTTTCTAAAGATAAAATAGTTGTGCCAGAGTATGTGGCCTAATATGGCACGTTCTGGAGGGCAGAATAGTCACAGTGGGGAGATAACCCAGTGGCCAGCTTTGTAGCTGATTGCTTTCACCTGGTTTTACTGTCTGTCCCTGTCTCCCTCCATTCCTGGTTAACTGAGCACTCTCTGTGCAGGACACTGTGCTAAGCTAGGTTTGTTGTTGAGGTTGCAGGACCAATCCACTCTTGTGTGCACAGTATAGTCTTCATGACTAATAACACTGCATGCATGTATGACGCTTCATAGCACACGGGGATTTTTTCACTGTACTTGTCTAAATCGGCTTGCCCCAACCTTCTGGGCTTTGTAGTGCAGTTAGAACTATCTTTATGGATAAGGAATCAAAGGCACAGAGAAGTGGTCTGCTCAAGGTCATGGTGGCTGGTCTGATAAAGTATCACACTGGCAAGGAGTCTGATGACCTGGCAGGAACTTGGTCGTGTGCGGAATCTTAATTCGAACCTTCAGGGTGAGATCACTGTCCCCACCCAGCCTGTGTCTTTGTTTAGGAAAAGGGAAGAGCATCTCCTCCTTGTTTGTGGACTACACTTTCTCGTGAGTCTGATCTACTGAGAAAATAATACAAACCACTCCGGTCGATTTCAGTCCCCTCCATCATGCTAGGTCTTGAGGCCACAAAGCCCAGTCTCCCCTCTCAGGTGCCCACATCTGTCCCCATCTGTTGCCCTAAGGTTCTCCCTCCTCACATAGAGGTCACTGCTTCTGTCTCATTGTGGAACCGGGCTCCCTGCCCAGCAGCCCTGCTGACTTCAGAAGGACCTCGTCTAGGGGTGGGACAGTGCTGAGGGCAAGGCCAGGCTGGGGCCCCTGTGGGCACTCATGCAGTCACTTCCTGCCTTTCTCCCCATGGCTCCCAGAGGTCCAGCCCTGTGGAACATTCTCCATGCACACATGCTCCTGGAGGGGCCCCCACGGGGAGGGGGTCGGGGACAGCAGGGGACAGAGGAGGTGGAGTTTGCCTGAGGTTTCATCAGCAGTTGGGACCCCAGTTGGTGTCTCATACTACCCCACACTCCTCTTTCCTACTGAATCTCCCTATTTCCATGCTTCCATCTCCCCTTCCTTATCCCGCTTTCTCCCCCATTCCCTTCTCTCATGCTTTCACTTTGAATAATAAAAACACTGGGACTTCATGGAGCCACCCAGCCCAGCCCTCTCCCGCCACTGACCCGAGGCTCTGCGAGGTGAACAGACCTGCCCCAGGTGGCCAGTGAGGGAACAGCAGACCCTGCAGAGGGCCTGGTGCCTAGGTCAGGGCCCCTCGTGCCTACTGTCCACGCTGGCTCCCCACCTCTGGGCAGTGTAGACCATAGGTAGATGTATGAGGCAGGCAGGGGTATGGGCTCTACCCACTGCCTTCCCCCACTGCCAGCCTTTTCTTCTCTTTTTCTCCCTATCACCACTCTACCCCGGGGACACAACGGGGTTCAAGGTCTTCACCTCCTATCAAAATACCAGGGGGGGTGGGAGCTGGCACAATCATTGATGCTAAGGCGTAGCTTTCCGGGAAGACCTAAAATAGGGATGGCAACCCCCGTGTCCTCCCCGGGCCACCTCTACGGTGAGCAGTGAGCCTCGTCTGCTGACTGCACTGACGGAGGTGTGTCTACTCAACCTAGCTTGAAGCCTTATGACCTCACGATGGCTACCTTGCAGCTGAGAGCACGGTCTTAGGTAAAAGGATGTGTCTCTGGTGGTTGAGTTTAGACATTACATAGCTGGGGGAGAAGGTGCCACATCTTTTGCACAGTGGCAGCTGTCACTCACTCATGGTCAGCCTCCCCATGGCCCCCAGCCAGTCACATAAAGAAAGACCCCAAATCCCAAACTGCATTTTTATTATTTTTTAATAAACTTTATTCTATATTACAAATAAGTTTTTTTTTTCTTGTTCTGAACTGCAAAATAGGAATGCCTTATATTTACATACACAGGTATACAATTAATTATAACAAAGGTACAGAAGCTTGCCTTTACCAAGTTACAGCTGGGCTCCAATTGAAATAGCATAGGTTTCTTTTTTAAAAAGTTTTTTTTTTTTAATCTTTTTTTAAATCTTACTAGGATACTCTTCTTTAAAAATCAAAACCAAGAAGACCCTCTTCTTAACGATCTCATCCACCTGTATTTGAGGCTCATCGTAACACTGTTGTCTAAAGATAGGTTTTGCTTTGTTCTAACAAAGGGTCAGTGTTCGAGGTGGGGGCTTCACTTTGAAACAGAGTGGAATGGGGCTGGAAGAGGGGGGCCTGGAGCAGAGATGACCTGCCCTACATCCTTCAATGGTCTCTCTCTGAGACTGGGACCCCTGCTGGTTCCTTAAACCACCCCTTCATCTATGCCTGCTTCTCCTCTTCCTCTCTAGCATCTGAGGCTAAACTCTGGGTCATCGGGCCAGGCCAGAACCCCTGCTTCCCGCCCACCCCCCAACTTCAGCTCGCCGAGCCATTGTCTGTTGTGGTACCCTGGAGTTGCTGGTTGCTATGGTAACTTGGCAGGACCCTGCTGGAAGAGATAGGCTGGTCCCTACACGCTAAAGTGGGGAGGAGGGCGGCTGCATCCAATCCTTCCCTCCCTCTCCGGGCCTGGAGACCTCGCTCAGAGCAGCCAACACGCCACCGAGCACAGGCCTCCGTCTCAAGGACACCAGGCCCGGCCAGGAGTGGCGGAGGGGAGGGGCGTCCACCCTAAAACACAACGTCATGGGTTTCCAAATGGAAACAAGATTCTTTGAGGTAAACTAGCTTTTCATTGTACAGAACGGAAGGTTTCACAAGCCAACAAGCTGACAGGACGGGCACGTCGGGGAGGGGGAGGGGAGGAGGACGGAGGAGCACGCGTGCGCGTCCCGTCTCCGCCCATGCCTGGGTCGCCGCAGACCTGCACGCATGCGCGTTCAGGAGTCCTGATTGGCAAAGTGGTGTCTGCTTTTAAGTGTCCTTTGGGGTTGTTCTTTAACTGTATCCTCTGTTTCGAATTCTCTCGTAAGGGAGTCCTTCCAAAATGTGCTTGAGCCAAAAGATCACTGATACCAACACAAAAAGAAATCCGAATTCCTGAAAAAGGAGCCAGTGGAAGATGAGCAGCATAGACTGAGTCTTGCTTTTGCATTCTTGGGGGAGGGACACTCATGTGTCCCCCCCCATGGCCGGTCCTAACAGGGCCTCCATGCAGTTTGGGGAAAGCTGATAGGAATGTGCTGTAGACTCAGGAACCCCCGGGGCAGGCGGGACAGCCAAGACTGGACAGAGATAGCAGCAGGTGAGGCCCCCTGCCAGGGACACCCGGCCCACTTGGCCCACCTGACTCTTGCTGCCAATGCAAACAGAAAGTCCTTCTTGTTCATTAGGGATTTTGTTTGGTTTCACTATGCTTCACTTTCTGGTAGCCTCCAGTCTACTGAAGGAATTTAAATGGGACTCTAATGAGTACGTATTACCTTTATAACTTAAAAATCCTACATATTTTTTAAACTTGGATACTCCCCCTAATAAAAACATAATTTTATGGGGGAGCAAAAATTTATAGTAAAAGAAAAAGAAAAAAAACCACAACCCCTCTCTCGAATGTCTGAAACGGTTACTGCAGAGGGTCACTTTCCAAACCGCCCCAGGCTCGTTTCCAGTTGAGGGCTTGTGCCCCTCAGAGCACCATGGGGAGAAGAGGTTTGAAGAGTGTCCCAGCCTCTTTCAGGAGCTGCCTCTTCAATGTCACCTGTGGCTGGGCCTCAGTTTCCCACTTTGTAAAATCAGGCTCTCGTTTGCTACACGCAGAGTGCCTGTGGGCTGAGGTGGCAGAGCTGGGAGGACGGGGTAGCGTCCAGGGCTCTGTCCATCAAAAGTGCAGGGAAGCTCCGAGAACATCAGGAGCCAGGGAGGAGGCCTCCCCTCACCGGGCAAGTCCACACCCAGGGACTTTCCTAGCCCATTTCCTTGACAATGCACGTGGGGGTTGGAGGAGGCTGTCCTCATCTGCCTGGAAGTCACAGGTGAAGAGTTGTACACACCTAGTGTGCACAGTAACCCGCACATTACAGCCACACCTGGGCTCCCTTCTTGCTCTCAAACTCTTAAAATATATAAATAAAAAATAAATGACTACAAAACCCTAAATAAACAGCTCATAGTTTTTTTTAAAGGGAGGGGCTGAGGAGTCAGGGAGGCCTGTCCTGATAGGGAAAGGGAGGGGAGTAAAAGGGATGGCGGGGTGGGGGGACAGGACAGTGAGCTGCCTGGGCGGGGTCTCCCCTGGGCAGGGGGTGCCTGGAGGTTACTCCTTCCCAGAAATGCTCGTAGAGGCCTTGAGGAGCCAGCTGGGACTGCCCGCTGGGACTCCCAGCTCCTGGAAGGGGCTAGGGCCGGGGTCGGGGCCAGGGGAGGGGTCTCTGGGCCTTCTGCCTGCAGAGCACATCCCTACGTCTGTCTGTCTTTCCTGCCCTTCTTGTCTGTCTGTGAGGCGGGGACCTTTGTTCTTGATGACGGCTGCTCCTGGCCCTTCACGGGGCTAAGCGTTTGACTCTGCCTGTGTGAAGCCAGAGCGAGTGCCCTGGTGCTGGGAAGGGGCGAGGCTGGAAGTGGAGCTTTCCTTGCAGTCAAAGCGAGTGGCACCGAGACCTGTTCCAGTCACAGAGCATTCAGAGGCCTGCACGCAGGGCAGAGGCTTGCCTCCTGCAGGGAGGTCACATGGAAGTCACTGCTTGTGGCTCCTCTGCTGGGGGACCCACAGGGCCTCGGCTGGACGAAGGAGGCAGCTTTGGGTGGGGTGGGATGGGAGGGACTGTTGGGACCGACCTGTCTACGGAGACGGCCGAGCAGCTCCTATCCTTGGGTGGACAAATGGCCTTGGGAAGACAACTTCACGTGCAGGAGGGACGAGGAGGAGGGGGCTCACTGAGGGGGGAGGAGCACAGTCGGAAGCAGACATGCAACGGGGGACACAGCACCAGGGACCTCAGGGGCAGGAAAGCTGGGGGCAGGTGCTAGGACAGCACATCAACATTAACCTGGGCTGGGAGCGGGAGCCGGGCCCGAGGGGATGAGGCCAGAAACCTTACCTGGTGGCAACTCCTGCTTCTCCCTGGGAACAATTCTTAACAATCTGCCTCAAACTTTGGAATCTACTGAACACGACTTCTCTTTTGGGCACAGCCCCCCTGAGAGCTTCCCTGAGCTCGCTCCCCGGCCCTTGGGCTCACGGGAGGGAGGCTCTGGGGGCTGGCTGTGGGTGTGGGTGTAACGCTGGGGTTGTCACATACCTTGGCCTGTGGGACACTCAGTTTATCTTCTGTCCTCAAATTTAAAACCATATTGAAAGAAGGCAAGAAAATATTTTCCTGAGGAAGTAACTGACGCAATGGCCAACTTGACTTAGTGGCACTAACTGCAGTCACCAAGAAATGTCAGGGTCTCTCTAACTTGCAGGGAAGAAGGAAGAACCCTGCAGAGCTCATGCCCAGGGGAGTCTGCGCCCGGGAGAAACCACCAGCTTGCAGCTCTCTTCCTCGGCTTCCTCCACCCATCCGTTTAAGCCTAGGACCCGGCTAGCTCCTTCCTCCCCACCACCACCAGCCTGCGGCCCTTCTCCCTCCAACACCCGCGGTCCCCTCCGGGAGCTGGTGCCATTCTGACCTGGGAAGGGGCGTGCAGGGGGTGGGTTACGGGGTGGTGAGGGAAGTTGTCTTTTCTCCCCTGCCCTCTGCCCAGGACTCAAGGAGTGAGATGAAGTTTCCACCTTCGACAAGATTGTGCACTGCTAATGACTTCGACACAGAGGGAGGCGTGAGGAAGCCTCCCACCCTCTGGGCCGAGTTTGCCCCATTGTTCCCTTCTCCCTGGGAGCCTGCAGGCCACCTGGGCACTTCTCAGGAGAGGAGACAGAGAACCCACCCGGGAGTTTGAGAACAAGATTTGGGGGAGGGGGGCAGGACAGATTTTTTGACAACCTTGCCTGTCTTTGCTTTTAAACTTCACACATGCACCAAGAACCCAAAAGGAAAAAAATGGAAAACAAACAGGAAAAAGAAAGAGGATTTATATGAGCAAGATGGGCTATGGCTCTGGGTGACTTGCTCCGATTTCTCAGTCCCCAAGCAGGCCACAGGGACTGCAGGCAAAGCACCAGAGGCAACCCCCCCCCCCAGCAACCTGCCCCAGCCCCTCCCCAGGGGAAACCAGGAAAGCCAGGAACTGGTCTGTCCCTGTCTCCTCTTTCTTCCTGATGTTTGTGTTCCTCTGAGGTGTTTGCAATTTTTCTTATAACAAAAACATGGGGGGGAAAAGTCCTGTACCGCCAAAGTAATAATAACAATAATAATCATCTGGTAAAAAATAAAAGCTTCAGCAGAACCGTGGCAACAGTCTTTTTTTTTTTCTGCTTGTTCATTTTTTTCTAACTGTGCAAAACTTAAAAAATAAATCAAAACACACTCACTCATACACGCACTCACACACACAGTGTCCATCCAGCAAATCTGTGTTAAATATGTTCATGTCCCTCTCCTCCTCAACCCTTCACATGTGCAAAAATATCTGGGTGACCAAGGCCCCCTCAGCCTGCCTCCCACATGCACTCTTTCTGCTCTGCAAGGTCCTGTGACTTCTTGGGAGGAAACAAAATGATCAAGGGTAGAAAAACCCATGCTTCTCCACCTGGTACTACATGTAGTTGCCAAACCTTTGGTTATTTTTTTCCCCCTTCCAATGCATTTTTCCCCATTCTCCTCTTCCTGTTCATTAGGTTTCTTGTGTCTTTTCCACCATCTGTCTTCTGCAATGCCTTGTGACACCCTGTTCCAGGTCACTGCAGTCGGGCCTTGGCAGGTGACCACCCTGATTTCCTATGGATAGGCGACCTCTCCTTTCAGCCACTGGCTCTCAGCACAGAGAGCGAGTGTTGAAATGTCCTGAAGCTGCAGGATGAGTAGGTGAGCAAGGGGCCAGGGAAGAGAAACACTTCAGAACCCTCCTACATAGGACGAGCAGTCTTTCTGCGCTCTCCACCTGTGCAGACACGCACACACGCATGCACGCACATGTGCTCACACGCATGTGAACATATTCACATCCCAAGGGGCGAGTGTTCTTAAAAGCACAGGGTGCTCCATGGACTTTGCTGGCAATGGTGTGGTTCCTCCCCCAAGTGGGGTTCGCTCTGAGTGGATGAGAAGGAACGATGTCCGCTGCTCAGGAAGTGACGGCAAGACTGTGTGGAACCCTTGGCTTCCACCTCACCTTAGAGGATGCTTCTCCTTGTCTCCCACAGTGGCGGATAGCTCCAGAGCAGAGCTGCCGGGAGAGTTCCTGCCTATGCCGGGAGACAAGACCAGGTGGTGTCTAAGGTCTCTCTAAGATGACAGGTTTCCATGACCTTCCATTTAGATTCTCTGACCACAGCCCCTGCTCACCTAGTATCCATTTCTGAGCTCACATTCCCCAGCACGGCCAACACGGTGCATCCATAGATGGAAGGACAGATGCAGAGATGGATGCCAGGGCCAAGGCCAACTGTGTGGCCCTCCTCCCATTCCAGCCAGGTCCATCAGCTCTTCCATGCCCCCCAGACAGGACGGGCTGACAGCTGAGGTTGGCTGGCATTTTGGTCTGTCTCTGCTAGGCTGTGCTTGAACGCGTTTCTTTCAGGGACCACCGCTGAAGGGATGAGGAAGGAGAATGACAAAAGAGACAGTGAGACGGTGATGAAGTCATTCACAAGGACGTCTGGGCAGTCCAGTGACAGAGTCATCTGCATAGCATTGGCACCAGATCCTGCAGGGGGAACAGCCACTGTGGAGTTGTCGGGAAGGATGGTAGGGATGGAGCCATGGAGACGGCTGGAGGTAGAATCTCCTAGATGCACCCTGCATTTCACGCTGACCCTCGATGAGGGTGACAAAGGAGGGTGGAGATAGATGCTTTCTCTAGACAGCACTCGGGCTCTGGCAATGAACTAGACCTATGACCGTGGTTGGGACTCATTTGAATTTGGGGGTGAATGGAACACAACAATGCTGCTTCCAGAGTAGATGCAACTCTCTTTGCTTTTCTCTCCCTCCATGTGACATTTCTGCCGCTCTGAGCGAGATTAGACGGTTGGGAGCATGTCCAGGGTAGAATGCAAGTACCATTCTTCCTCCTGCCTGGCTTTCCACAGTGAGGGCAGAATCTGGGCAGGCAGTTTCCCCTGGACACTTGGAGGGGGGCAGGAGGCCTCTGGATGCCAACTCGGCAGGCGAGAGGCAGCCCCGAGGGGAACCCCGACTCCTCACACGTGCCCTGCTCCAGCCGTCTGCGGGAGGTGTGGCCTCTCTTCTCACAGCTGCCCAGCGACCAGACCGCTGACCGACCCCTCGGAGAGGGAATTGTGGGGAGGGAAAGCCAGGCGGTGTCTTCCCAGTGCAGATAATACTGAGCTCGCTGCCTCTTCCCTGGGCCAAGGATCGGGCCAAAGCGGGGGCTCCTGAAGTGGAGGGTGAAGTAGCAGCACAGAAAAGTCCTCTATCCCTGGCTCCCCTCATGTTTCGGCCCTGCTGCTGACATGCGGGTCAGGAGCCGCTGGGGCACAGCCCCTCTGACACCCTGTGGCCAGCTCCCTCACCGTGGGCCCGGGCATCCTTGCACTAACTGGGGGCCAGTGGCTTAGCCCAGTCGCATTGGCAGAGCAACTAGAAGAGAAGGGACCCAGGAAGGAGGGAGAAACAAAGAGGCAGAGAGAGAGAGACAGCGCTGCTCAGGGGATGCTGCTGATGCCAGTCGGAACTTGCACTTGGTAAAGATGATAATCTAGACTGAGGCACGGCTTGGTGTGTCCCCCCTCCAGGGTGGCCCTGGAAGGACGGTTCTCAGCTGTCTAAGCTCATGAAGGTTATGACTTGTTCTAGTTTGTAGGCCAGTTTCTGCTTCCCACACTGGTCGTCGTGGTCCAGAGGTCCAAGGATCTGTTGAAGGGCCAAGAACGGGGAGGTTACTGGTTTGTGTGTGTCTGTGTTCCTCGCAGGTAAACAGACAGCGCCGATGTGGTCAGTGGTGGGGAAGACATGTGTGTGTGCATGTACACACATTACACTGCCGGGTAGTCGGTGGCCTGGGCAACATGGGTGGGGAGGTGTGGGAGGCACTTGGGCTTGGGGTACAGCGTGTGGCACCCACATGGCAGTTAGCACAGGATGCCACACACACATCAGCATGTCTGAGTGACTGCGTGTATTTTATCACCTGCAAAAGACAGTGTCTTTGTTGAAGATGTCTGTGCCAAAATGCTACAGTTACCTGCAGGTTTAGCAGCAGAGAGTTCCATATCCGATGTAAAGGTGAGGTGCTCAGTGACTAGTGGGAATGTGACTTCATGGGTATTAAGACATCCCAACCCTCCTTCCAAAAAAAGAAAACTTTCTCCCTCAGCTCCCTGAGGCCTGAAATTCCACATTTCAGAAAGTCATTTGGCTTAACTTTGCCTGTTAAAAAACAAACGTCCCTAGAAAAGTAAGGCCGTAAGCTTTAATGGTCATAAACACCTAACGGATTATGATGACCAAAAGCCTTTTCTGAGGTCAGACGCTTGGTGGAGGACAATGACAGCCAGCAGCTGTGGCCCAAGATGGAAAATGTGCTGGAATTTGACTCAAACTCAGGCCCTGTGGGATTGAATAAAGACTCTGCCCATTTCTAGCTGAGTGATCTGGGGCAAAATATGCAACCTCTCTGCACCCTGTTTTCTCATCTGCAAAATGGAGGAGCTACTGGTGCACCTCCAGCGGATAGGACAGAGTCCCATAACAGCCGTGGGCACCTTTAGCACCACACCTGTGCCAGAGAGCCACTGGCCAAGCAGGGGTGGTTGGAACCTACTAGTGTTGGGGTCTGGGAGGGCAGGGGTAAGGGGGCAGAGGGCAAGGAGGTGAAGAGAAGGCTGAAGGCTCGAGGGAGGCTCCCACGGCTTTGGCCTTCATGACCTAGTTAATGTATTTTCAGCTGGGGACACCAAGATAGAGTTGGCCAACTTCCGAGCTGGCTGAGAGCCATCATTAACGGGCACCACCATTTCACAAAGACAGGACGTCTTAACACCAAGAGTAGACAAGTGTACTACTTGTGTAGTCCCTTGTGGACTAAGGGACAGTCCTTTCCAAGATGAGGCAGCTGCAGTCTGCACCATGCTCACTACCTTGCCTTGCCACGGGCAGGTGGAAACCTTGCCCTGGGCCAGTCCTGGTTGCAGACTCAAGTCAGGGGGCCCTCCCACAAGGGCTTCCCTTTGACGTGACGGTCACAGAGTCGGCCTGCTGGGGCTGCTACTTTCCCCGGGGTCCCCAGGCTCCTCCTGGTGGCGAGGCCTTGAGGAAGCAGAGAGCCCGGGGCACTGGCCTCAGCTCCTCTTACTACTTCCATGTGGAGAAGGGGGCTTTGCTGCTGCTCAGATGTAGGGAATCTGGATTCTGAAGCTGCTGGCCTAAGCTGCACAGCCAAAAAAAAAAAAATCTCCTATGGCCAAGAACACTCCCATTCCTTTGTACTGGCCAGAAAGAAGGCCGTGTGTACGGTGGCCATTACCGCGGGTGGGGTTTCCCAACTAGGGAACACAAGGGCTAAAAACACACTCTACCCCTTTCCATTCTGTGCTAGCCGGTCTCATTGTTTCACTGCTGTTCTATTCTGTCTGTTTCATTCTATCCTGCACCACGCCATCCCCAAGAGCATGGGGGGTGGGGAGTGCTTGTTTAAAGAGAATTAGATCAGAGAGAGAAATGGAAGAAATAAAAAAGAAAGAATAGCAGGGGAGAAAATAAGCATAAGAAGAGAAAAAAAATGAAAGAGACAGATATTTCTCTATCTGAGAAGAACAGGGATAAATGCAGCATTTACAGACGGGAGAGTTTCTAGCCTCATGGTCTTTGCAGCACAGCCCCTGAGTCCCGGCAGTACAGAGTCTCCCCAGTGGGGTCGGGGGTATCTGGGCGGTTGTTCTCGTACATGAAGCCATGCAGGGCTGTCTCTGATCTCTGCCCCCTTCCTTCCCAACAGGCCCCGAGCAGGGCGGTGCTCACCTCCTCGCTGTATTTGCCCACGTAGGAGAAGATCTCCGAGAGTGCACTCATGGTGTTGAACTCATTCATGTGCATCCGGGACTGCTCGGCCAGGTACGCGTTCATGTCCTGGTCGCTGATGGCCGGCATCTTCCCGATGTCTGAGTAATACCTGCCAAGGGACGGAGGAGCTGGAGTCATGCACACGGAGTAGAGAGGAGAGATGGAAACTCCCAGCACCGGGTCTGGGGCCACAGGCCCAACTTGAACTCCTGGTAGTGGCTGCCTGTGCCTTGGCCACCTGGGGACCACGTTGAACTCCGTCCCATCTGGGCTCCTGGGTCTGGCCCAGGAGGAGCCCTCTGTGGCTCGGGATGCAGAAGGCACGGAGGGCAAGGGTTTGGGAATTGGCCAAGACATTGTCGGAGGGTGGACAGGACAGGGATCAGGAGTGAGAGGGGCCCTGCCTCGCACATCTGCCTTGCTCCCAGCTACCACGCAGTGGTGCAGACGCCTTCTAACTCCCTTCCTGTGCACAGACACGGGGAGTCTCCTCCAGCAGCGCCTGAAGGCTCTTCCAAGCAGTCGTTCTTCCCTGATGTCCTCCCCTCTCTGGGGTTTAAATGGGACCGGGCGGAGCTGGGGCCGCTAGGGGAGAGAGACTGGCAGAAGGCAATCCGTCACTGTCACTTGCAGCTGTGCACTGCTGTCAACTGGTTAATTAGATGCCAGCATTTACATTTTTAATTTCTGCAATTTGACATTTTATGCACAAAGCCCCAACTCCCCCGCCAGAGGGGAGGTGTGCAGTTTCCTAATGAGGAAACGAAAGGCCTCAGTGCCCCAAAGACAGCCACTTCTCACCCTCTCCCTTGCACTTGCGGGTTTGCAGGCCACATGAAAGAGAACAGGTCACCGCAAAGAGAGAGGCCTCCTCAAACCTTACGGCAGCCCATTCCCATGGCTGCCATGCTGGGGAAGGCTCGCCAGGGGGCCCGGAATCAGGAAGGGTGGGTGGGGGGATGGTCTCCAGGGCAGGGACTAGGTCAAGGCCAGTGAGACGCCTGGGCACCCAGCTTCAGGAGAGGCACTGGCTCTCCGGCTGTGCTGGTGACGGACCCTGGGAGTTCTCAGCACTCATGGCTTAACCGGAGGCTCTGGGACAGCCTTCCCCGCACCTGCCCTGTGTCTGCCCGGCCACACCCCTCATTGCTCTGACCAGGGCGCCATCAGTCCCAGGCTATTTCCCTGACCTCTGCCTGTCCCCACTGGCACCCAGGGCTTGGGTGAGAGGCTGGAGGCGGTGGTACCCCCGTGCTGCCTGGGCATCCGCTCAAGGGCCTGCAATAAAATGACAGCTCAATTTGCCACCAGAGCTTTGCTGGGCTGGCGAGGGGCCGGCTGGGCCATGGCCATGCTGGGATTGCAGGCCTGTCCCGTCTGGAAACCAGGGAAGCAGAGGGAAGGGATGAAAGCTGGAGTCTCCGGCCAGGGAAGGAGCTGGTCTGAGGAGACTCCCACAGCCCTTGGGAACCCAGCCGCACGCTGGACACCGTGTCAACTGCTCTATTGAACTGGTAGCAGTTTGGCCAGGCAGGAGTTCTCGCCCCATGACACACTACAGTGGCAAGCCACAAGGATAGAGCTAATGACATGGCCTTTCTCAGAGCAGCCGGGGGCTCAAACGAGGCTGCCCTGGTCCTCTGACCCATGTGGACTTGCATCCCCCACAGTGTCTCCCTCTCCTCTGCCCCTTCCTCATCTTCCGAGCCCTTGGGGCCTCCGCTCCTTGTCCAGTTTCATTTTGGTGTCTCTGCTCTCTTCAAGGCCTGTGATTCACCCCAAAGACATCTCAGGTACTTAATACACAGGGTTCTGAGCAATTTAGTGGCATTCCAGATATAAAAGTTCCAGTGAGAGACTCGATTCATTGCCACTATTTCTGGAATGCCATAAACTCCAACGTTCCATTTTATGGTGGGAGACCAGAGACTTCCACAGTGGCTCTCAACCTCGCCACTTCCAAGAAGATCTGTGCCATCATCCCCCCAGGATCCCACGTCTGCCAAGCAAGGTATGTTTGTCAAACAAACGGTTCTCCTCACAGATCGTGTTAGAGAAAAACATGAACAAATGACTTCGCTCACTTTTGGTCTCAGGGCCAGCAGCTGGCCATGCAGTTAAGACCATGAATGTTTGCTCTGATAGCACGGCTGGGTCTGAAGCTTCCTTTGTCACCTGTAGACATTCAGAGCCTCTGACCAGCATGAAAAACCCAGGTTCCCATTGAGAGGACATAGCTGTCATCAGAAGGTTGCACATGTCGCCTGCATGTGCAACCCTCACAGCAGATGGGTGGTTCTGCTGGGCTTTTTGCCATCAGGGCCAGGGCTCCTGCTGCTGTTTTGAGGGTCCCCAAGGTGTATGGGAAACCAGGCTAGGGACCACAGTGAAGGGATCCACCCCTGGAAACAACAGATGCCCTTACTCTGTCCCTTCGCAGTGGCTTGCCTCATGGCAGGGTGCACAAGCCCTATCCTTTTTTCCAAAGAGAATACTTAGAAAGCAGGTGTGTGTGTGTGTGTGTGTGTGTGTGTGTGTGTGTGTGTGTGTGTGTGTGAAGGAGAGACCGAGACAGAGGCTGGCTGGAGGAGTTGAGAGTGGACTGGGAAGGGCAGGGGTTCGGATCTCATCGAGAGGCAGCGGTGACCTGCCTCTCCTGGACACGCCGCTCCCTCTCACGGTGAGGTCAGGTCTGCAGGGAGCAGCTCCTTCTCTTTCCTGTTGCCTTTGCGCTGGTGAGGCTGGGGAGGACCAGTGCCAGTGTGGCCAGACATTAGCCCACAGGTGGGCCAACCACGTGACGTTGTCTTCAGCAAGTTCTAAGTCAGCTGAGCTGAGTGGCCACGGACAGCCCAATGCTGACACTCCAGCCTGCTTCTGACCCTAGGTCTGCCTGGTTCTAGGCGGTCCCACCCTCTCTGCAGGACTTTGCTGACACTGCCTTGACCTCTGTGGCTCCCCTCCAGGGCTCTGCCCAGCCCACCCCCTAGTCAGCACCCTTGAGCCTGATGACGACCCCGCATGGCAGTCCCTCTGCCGTGTGCACAACTGCTTCCTTCTCCCTCTTCCTCTTCTGGATTCTGTCCTGGGCTCCTCCACTGAGAGACTTCATTGATTGCGAAGGATGCAATTCAGCCCTGTTAATGAACTTCAGACAAGTGTTCTCATCAGCTGGCTGGGCAGTGAGGAAAGGAAAGGTCAGCCTGGGCCTTGGACTTGAACTTGCTCCCGTGGGATTTCTGCCTGCAGGTGAGTTCAGAAAGGACTGGTGCCCTGAAAGTCCCCCAGGAGTCCCCTCAAACTGGCCAGGGCTGAGGCAGGGCTGGGTCTCCCCTATCCTGGCCATGCCCAGGTCTCCTTGGGGAGTTTGCTCACACCAGGTAGGCTGCCGGGACCCCTGCACCCCAACATCAGCCCCTGGGAGCTGCCATGGAGGGCAGGGCCCAGAGAGTTGGATCGTCCACTGCGGGCCGGTCTGCGGTGCCTCACGTGTGCGGACTCCTGTGAGAGGGGAATGCGGGGAGAAAGCCTGGGCCCGGGGTGGGGTGGGGAGACTCTCATCTCTGCCTTGGGTAGAGCCCTCTAGTGACTGAGAACATGGTCTCCAACACCCTAACCTCTTTGCAAAGAACAAAGTGTTGGCATCCCTCCAAATGCCTCGAAATGCAAGATATTCTGAGCTGATGCTCTGATGTCCCCAACACTCGCCTTTGCAAGGCCCTGCACAGAAGTCCCTGTGAATCACCGGCCGACCCCGCCAGGCCCAGCAGAATGAGATCTTTCCCTCGAGCCTCCACCACGACAGCGCGTGGTGCCTGACGAGTGCCTGCCGGTGGGGAAAGGATCGAGTCCCACGCGTCCCACATGCCCAGTACACCCGTGATGGACACCGTGATGTTTGACCCACAGATTAATCAATACGTTAATGAAACGTCTATACCTCACCTCCAGTATTGCTCCCAGGGGCAGCTGTCACAGTTTTATATATTTGACTGGATAGTTTCCTTAGGAAGCATATTTAAATATTTAAAATTCTTAATCTTTCTCATGCCATGGCACATGGCACACATGGTAGATGGCACTGAAACATGTGGCACGCCCCCAGCCCAAGCCCCGGTGGCCACTGCAAGTCCGCTCTGCTCATTTCCTCCCTGAGAAAGCCTACTGGCGGCAAGGGAGTGAGGCCAGTGTTGCTACAGGGATGACCTTGAAGCTCTTCCGAGTTAAAATCAGAGGAACTCACTACGGAGTATGCAAATTTATTGCTACTGACCATGACACGCCAATTCATGGTGACAACACAACTGAGTTCTTCTCTGTGAGATGAGTGTGGCAGTTAACTGTTAATGGGAAACCAAGAGACTCTCCTCCCCTTCTCTAGACTTGGCCACAAGCAAAAGCTCAAACTCGTGGATGGAGGCAGTGAAGACTGGGAGTCCACAGTAGAGCCACAGACCACTAGCATTACAAGGTATCTGGAGGCAGGAATGGGCTGGGAGGGGGAGTGGGAGGGTGGTGGGAGGGAGGACAAGTGGGAGGAAAGGTGGAAAGACAGACATGTAGGAGAAGAGATGATAGGATGGGTGGGAGACTAGATGGGAGGATGGGTGGGAGGGCAGCGGGAGGGAGGACGAGTCAGGGGACAGATGGGAGAATAGAGGGGAGGATGGGAAAATAGATGGGAAGATGGGTGGGAGGATGGGTCGGAAGACAGGTGAAAGGATGGGTCGGAGGACAGTGGGAGCACAGGTGGAAGAATAGATGAGAGGATGGAGAACAGATGGGAGGATGTGTGAGGGAATGGGTAGGAAACTAGATAGGAGGACAGGAGGGAAACTAGATGGCAGGATGGGTGGGAGGACAAGTGGGAGAATAAATGGGAGGACAGGAGAATAGATGGGAAGATGGATGGGAGGAAAAGTGGGAGGATGGGTGGAAGGACAGGTGGGAGGATGGGTGAGAGGATGGGTGGGAGGATGGGTGGAAGGACAGGTGAGAGGATGGGTGAGAGGATGGGTGGAAGGACAGGTGGGAGGATGGGTGAGAGGATGGGTGGGAGGATGGGTGGAAGGATAGGAGGGAGGATGGGTGGGAGAATAGATGGGACAATGGTGGGAGGATGGGTGGGAAGATAGTGGAAGGATGTGTAGATAAAGAATTCTAGGAGATACCAGGTAGCAAGGGTGCTGATAGAATCATCTATGCTTCTCAACAGAGTTAGTGAGTCTTCCCGAATTCACTTGCTTTCCTTTTGCACCCACTCTGAAGGGAGGGCCAGCAGGGTAAACCCTGTTTTGTAGCTGTGATGTGCAGAAGGCCTTCCCCAAATGCGTGCAGGGCACCCTGCACAGCCGAGAGTCCGGGGCAGCTGTCTGCGTGCTCACAGCATCAAGGCAGCGCGTTCAGAAGTGGCAAGCCCTGGCCACAGGAGGAGGACACTCCACCATCATTCTTCTGAACTGGTGGCTGCCGGTGCCCTTGGAAGGGGAGGTGGGAGATCAGGCTCGCTGCGGGTCTGGGCGAACTCTGCCCTGCCAGACTCACTGTCCCTCCAGGGAGCCAGGCGAGCTTGGAGCCCGCCTCCTTGGGGAGTGGGAGTGAACTTGACCATTTATCACCAAGGGAAGAAGCAGTGTGGGTTGACCTCCACACCTGCCCATGCTGTGTTCTCCATCCCTCTGTCTTTGCACCCTCATCCCGAAATGAGAGGAGAAAGGATTCGGGACCTTGAGCAAGTGAAAGATGACTTTCCTGAGAGTGCCAGTGGTTGCTAAGAAACTGGCGGGATAAGAAATGGAAACCATCAGACCGCTCCTAAAAATAACCAAACGGACAAGGCTTATTTGTGACCTGGGGCAGCTGCGTGGCACAGATGTCACTGAGCAGTGAGCGGAAGGGAGACCATTTGCCTGGCACGTGCATTCGTCTCACCTCCACCCAACCAGCCGTGTTCTGGGGACGTGTCCTTTGTGCAGATGCTTCAGAAACGTCCCCAGCCTTCGCCATCCCTGGCTCCTCCCCCTGCCTGGGGCTGTATCTCAGTGACACGGTGGCAGTGCAGGGATGACCCACAGCCCAGCTGCTGCCTCCTGCCCCCTCTCTTTGCCGAGGGGGTGGCTGTCCACACAGGAGAGCTTGATCCTGGCAGCTCCGTTGTCAGAAGAACGAGCCACTGTCTACATAGCAGGAGGTGAGAGCCTGTCTTGGGGACTCAGACTTAATCAGACACGTGGACAAAAGAGTTAGCTCTCTCCCTGACAGCCGACGAGGCACGTCCACCACATACGTCAGGAAAGGGGAGAAGAGGATATCCAAGAACAGAGGGGAGAGGGAAAACAAAATTAAACCCTTTTAGTGAAGCTATTCTACTCAGGTGCCCAGAACTCCACTATCTCATAGTTATTCCCTCTGCACGAGGGAAGGCAATTTTCAAGTGTAGACATGGAGACTGTCTCTCTGCCATGCACAAAATGATACAGTTCATTTTGTCTTCAGTCACCAAGAACAATTTCTGGTCTCTTTACTCTCAAAAAAGGTACCAAACTTAAGCCCCCAACTATGTTTCCCATATACTTAAGCTACTTGGAAAAAAGAAAGAAAAGGATTCTAAATCTAAAAGCAGGACTATCATGTAGAGTTGTGCAGGTTGTTCACTGCATAAAGGTACTTGGACAAGAGGGTGAGCTGGGGCTGGCAGCTAGCCCATCATTTAGCAAACCACGCACCCTGGCGTGGGGTCATATCCTCCTGTAGGAAGGAGCACTTTCCTTAATTCACATAGAGGTACCATGTGAGCTGGCAGAGAGAGGCCCTATCTGAAAATATCACAAACAGTAGAAAAGATATCTGGGAATCAGCTACAAGGCTTGGGATCTTGTTTCATCTCGGCCACTTACATCATTTTGGGCTCACTACTGTATGTATATTTCTTCACTTTCACAGACATAAAAAGAGGTTATAATTCCTGTCCTTTTATGTTACAGGGCTACTGTTACGAATAAATAAGTAAAGTCTGAGCCAGTTTCTTAGCTCAGGTATTTGGCATGTGGAGCTGACATGGCCCACTAGTGTTCTTTACCTCGAGTTAGCACTGGGTGAGCACTGCTCTGGGACAAGCCCAGCTCCAGAGCTTACTGGAGGCCCTTTTGTCATGGGAGTTTCGAGTCCCTGTGACTTGAGCATGGGCAGGATGGCTGAGACAACGCTGCAAGACACAGGGCATTCAGAGCTCCTTGCATGAGAGTTCAGGGGCAGGGACAGTGAGAGGCTGTTCAGAGAGTGACAATGACATCCCACAGAATGCTGGGAACTGCCAGACAGACAGAGCACAGGGTTAGAGACCTCTAGCCTCTCTGCAACCAGATATTGTTTGGTCCCTTGAAGTCTTAAGATCACAGATTTCTTTAAAATGTATTTATTTTTGCGGGGTGGGGATTATAGCCAGGAACCATATGTCCTTCCTGGGCCTAGAAGGCATTTCAGCCACCGAGGTCTGAGGTCCGCCACGCAGGGAAACAGAGCATGCGGCAACCTCTGGCCACGTGTCCCAGTGCTCGTTCCAGCAGACAGCCCCACCGGGGTCGTGGGGCGGGAGGGAGTTGCAGCGGCAGGATCAGGCTTTGAGAATGGCCAGTCTGGAGGCGCCAGCCCACTTTTCAGGGGGAAGGGAACTTTCATCGGGGCAAGCTGACTAACTCATTCGCTCCCGGGCCCAGCACTCACCGCTCCACCCAGTTCTTGTAGCTGGGGATGTCCTTGGCGTAGAGCAGCTTGTTGGAGGGCGAGTCCTTGCCCAGCCGGTGCTCCGACGTGGAGCAGGAGTCCATGAAGGTCTGCGCCACCACCGACAGGCAGGCGTCTGTGATGCTGTTCTTGTGGATGTCGAACACGAACTGTGGGTTTTTGATCATGTTCACCCAAAACCGCAGCGGCAGGCTGTGTGGAGAGAAGCGGCAGGCGGTCAGGGGAACCAGCAGAGCTCGGGAGCCTCCTCTATGCGGGGGACGGGAGGGAAGATGGGTCTGCAGGGCCCCAGACTGCCTTCCAGAAAACTGAGGGTCAGCGAGGTGGAATAATTCACCCAGACATATGTGCACGGACAGGCACTGGAGAGGGTGTGACGCCGGCCCGCCCGAGGGCTGACAGTCTCCCCTCTGGCAGAGGCGGCGGCCACGATGTGTGCTGTAAAGCCGAGTTTCTGACTCTGTTCTGCTGCCTGCCCCCGTGCCTGACATAAGGAGCATCCAGTTGGCAAACTTTAAGGAATCACTTGACCCTAGGCCTCCTGTCTGACTCTTTGCCACCTACCCTGTGACTTGGTGGAAGCCACATGCTTCCTCTCTGCCCGGTCCTGTAGCTTATTCCTGGAGGGGGAAGGCCCTGGGGCTAAGTGTTTCCACGTAGCAAACTGATTTTTCATGTCCGAGCTGGTCCCCTTAAAATCCCACATGCGCCCATCTCACCTGCCCCATTGTGTTCCATCCTCCCCCGGCCCCTCCTCCCAGTGAGCACCTACTGCCCACCAGGAACGCTGACGGCAACTGGGGACACTGAGGTGAACAGGACATCCCCCTGCCCTCAGGAAGCCTGCATAGTGGTGGGTTTCCGGGGAAGACAGACGTGGAACCCAGACACGCTCGGAGAACCGCGGGTGCTAGTGCCGGAGAGCGGTGGGCTGCAACGGGGCCCCAGGGAGCCCTGGGTCCACCCCGAGGGCAGGGTCCGGAAAGCCCTCCCAGAGGGGCGCCTGGTGCTCAGAGTTCTCAAAAACGCAGGGGTGGTCTTAGCTGGGGGAGGCCTGGAGGCAGGGGTGCACCTGCGGCAAGAGGCCGTCGGCATGCGTGAGCTCAAAGGGGGAGACTGCACAGTGCGGTCTGGGGTCACGTCTGTCACTAAAAAGAGTCCAGGGCATCAGGAGAAGCCACCTCCTGCTCCCTTTGGCTGCACCTCTCCCTGCTGCTGTCCCACGCATGGCCTGTGCCAGGCAAGGGATCGCTTATTCCCTCCCCTCTGCCCCCACCTCTGCCTCCCTCCATTTCCCCTGGTGTTTTATTGTCGTTTGGGTGGCGTTCTCGCTGTTGGTAATAGTCATAATGTTCGTTGTGTGTTTGGCTTGCCTCTTACAACTTAAACTCTCTGAATTACATTATTTCAATAGCGAGAGTACAATATTTCCATACTTGTTGTATCTCTCAGCAGCCGGTACGAACAAACAGCAAATGCTATAAATACAATCAGACCCAGCATTCAAGATTGCCGATCAATCGACAAGTATTTATTAAGTTCCTACAAAGTGTGCGGCACACGGCTCAGGCAGGCAGCACTGAGATGCGACCATGTTTAGTGGCACTGACTTCATCATTGGAAATGCAGAACAGGAGGTAATGGGACGGTGGCCTGGGGCAGCTCAGAGAGGCACGACATAGGGTGAAAGCTGTGATCACACCAGCTGCCCAGCCTTCTCGAAGGGGAGACCGTGACAGCTGGGCTCAGAGCCCCGGTTGAAGGACCCACTTCCCAGTTAATGAAGTCTCCACCACATATTCCTGTTTTTCCAGAAGTCCCACCCAGAATAGGGACACTCTGGGATTCACATTCCCGCTGTTGTCTCTCCCCTCTACTCCCGTTGCTCAAGCCACTTGTGATGATGACAGGCACAGGAACAGAGAAGCCACCCCACCCACTGGAGGCTCCTGCCTAATGAAACATTAGCATATTATTAACATTAGTGGTGGCGCTAATCTCTGGCTGATTGCAGCCACTCAGGCTAAATGAGCAGGAGGTTTATTTAAAAGAGAAAAGGTAGGGAGCTTGGAAGAAGGGGGTGGGGAGAGGGTGGGGTATACCTTGAGCCAGGAATAAAAAAACAATCTCTTTTCAATCAAGGACAATTAACTCCAAGTCAATATGCAAATCTCAAGATTCCCAGACTGACTGTCTCTTGCCCAGGGTAGCAAGGATGCCGTCAGGGTCAGGGGACATGTCCTTTGATGGGGGACCGTGAGCACAGGATGGCTGTCTGCTTCCCGGGATTTCCCTCATGTGGACATGGATTCTTTGTGACAATACCTGAGTCCTTGCAAGAGCTGGCCTAACAGGAGGATTTGGCTTCCCCCCAGGACGTCATGGCATCCTTGGAGGTGGCCCTTACCCTGGCAGGAGGGATGGGCTGAAAACAAATGGCTTGAATACCGTTTTAGGTGACATTCCTGGCACGGGCTACTAAGAGCATGTAGAAATGATTGGAAAGACCCAGCTCTCCCCGGCCAGGACCAAGAGATCTGGCAGAGCATTTCGTACATCCCAGAGCTGCTGACACCCAACCAGGGTAGTACGTGGGCAGACACCCTCACGGAGAGAAGCAGGGTAGGCAGGCCGGGGACACACCCCTCGGAAGAGCTCCCAGGAGTCACGCTAAGAATACTGGGAGAGTTAAACGCCTCTTACCCAGAGGCAGGCGCTGGACTTCCTGCTGGGAAGGGACCAGACCCTGCTAGCCTTCCAGAGGAGGACATCTGCTTCACCTGTGTTACTGCGCTGAGTGGGGAATCTGGATTTTGAGTCTTATTTCAGAAAGGCTGCAAGAACCCCAGCATGAAAGATCTTCCCTCATCAAGAGTTAATGTGGGAGCAAACCCCATTCTTTAGTGCTGCAGTCCAAACCTCTGTTCCTGCCTGATGTTCCAATGTCCCCAGGTAAGGAGCCCGGGCATGCTACATTGAATAAAGTTTGACTGCTATAGCCCGACTTCTGCCTTCACCTGTGCTTTGCTGTGGGGCCCGGGGCTGGCTGGCAGGGTGCCTGGCGGAGCCCTAGTGCCTCGCCAGTCCTGGCAGTGGCAGGTGCTGGGCAGCAGGCCCATGCTGCCTTGGAAGAACGATCGGGGAAAGAACAACCTGGGACGGCACCATGTAAAAGCTGCACGGAGGCAATTCTGGAACCAAGGGCTACATCCAAGCTAGCTTTGCAGGGTAGAACTCTCAACCAGAGACCACCGTGGCCCTGCCGCTCCTCAATATTTCCCGAGTCCCAGCTTTGCAAGGCTCCGTCCCCAGCGCTGCATACTGACGTCTCACCTTGCAATCTCAACCTGAACTACAAATCACCCGCAGATGAAGGGGAGAATGAATGACATAGGTTAAAAGGAGAAAGGGGATTGGAGGGGGGACACCTAGAGTGTCAATTTAGTACTCGGAGAACCCTATTGTCTCAAAGGAAGACAAAGAAGGGCCGATCTATCCTCCAAACAGAGCTTGGAAAAGACGTGTGTTGGGAGAGAAGAGAGTAGTTCCTCGAATAGAAGAGAAACACCCCTTTACACCTAGATGCCACCTGCATGTGCTTCAGAGTTCTTCCTGTGACTCACTGTGAGGCCTCGCCCTTCTCTGATGCAGTGCCCACAACACATCTTCTATCACAGCCTTCGCTCTGCCCAGACTGCGACTTCCTCGCCTTTTACTGCCGTCTGTCAGCTCGCCGAGGGCGGAGGCCATGCGTGATTAGTCTACGATCCTGGTGTCTGGCATGATGTCAGGCACCCAGGAGGTACCTGGGTGGGAGACTGCCCTGGCTATGACAGTTGGCATATTATTTCTTGCTCAATTAGCTGGTTCAGTAAATTGTTAACGGACTAAGTGACTGATAGGAAGAAAAAACAAAAACGATGCAAGACAGATTTGACTAGAGGGGAGCGAGAGAGGGCAGGAGGGCCAGAGGGTGAGCCTCCTCAGACGCCCTGCTGCCCAGGTGGCCTCCCGCCAGCCCTCTTTCCCAAGGCCTGCGGTCCCACCACCCTGGCTTGGGCTGGGCCGGCTAAGTCACCTGCCCCTGCTGGTGCGCCCGGGTCCTCCCATCACTCACCAGTTGCTCTTCCAGGTGTGGCGCACGTGCGGGTCGTGGATGCCGTGCTTGTCCGCCTGCTCATCCAGGAAGTCGAACATGTACTTTATGGCCAGGGGCAGGGCGGAGCCGCGGTGCGCCGTGCTGAAGATGGTCTCAAAGAGGTCATCCACAAACTTCTGCAGCGTGCCCTGGGGAGGGGGGACATGGTCAGACATAGCTCGACCCACGAGGCTCTGAAGACGGGTCTTAAAACCTGCCTCACAGACCCGAGGCCGAGGAGGACAGTGTATAGCCTTCCCTGCGTGGGTGACAGTGGGTAAGTCCATGCATGACATCTTTCCCCCCCTTTCATCTGTCTCCCACAGCTCTACATTTCTCCTGTACATGGGAAATAGATCCAACACTCATGACTGGACCCGAGTAAGTCTTCCTCTGCCAACAACACGGTTTGGTTTAACACCCTCTGGCGGTGTTATTTTAGCACTTTTCCCAAATGCTAATGAACACTCACTTGGTCAGAGCAGACAAACACAATCTGCTGGATTTGTTTGGGCATCACTCACAGTGGCTAATGAACAGTTACTCATTTGGCTCTGCAGAGAGCATAGCTGAGCCCAGTCTCAGGAGTGAAAGAGTAGAACTGTGTCCCCAAACCAGGATTAGAAATGGTGCCTGAGTAGTCACGGATGGAGCCCCGACGCCCACCCCTGGAGATTGCATATGACACCCCAGAGAGGAAGGCGTGGTGGAAGAGCGTGAAAAGTTAGTGTCTCAGTATTTGAGACAGGGCATAGAGAGGGGATCCGACTGCATGCCAACACCGCTGCACCGGTAGGGCTTGCCTGCAGCACTGGGTTGAGAAGGATTCTGAGGTTCGGTGCTAGGACTGGTTAGCAGTGTCTGCCAGGGTAGATAACAAGTAGGCACCAGGGCAAACACTAGGTACTGGCCAGCCCTGGCATTTCTGTGGGCTGGAGAAGGCCACAGCCACAGGCTCCCTGCGCCCTGTTGTCAAGTCTGATACCTTAGTGGCCAGGAGCCGCGTCAGGTAGATTTCGGACACCATCTTGCTCCCCCGGTCGCCCTCTTTCTGGTCCCCGTGCTCGTGGTTCTTCACCAGATGCCACATCTTGACGCCGCTCTCCAGGTCGGGAGTGATCATGGGTGTTCGTGAGCGGAGGCTGTCAGGGCTGCCCGTGTACCGGATCATGTTTTCTGTCGGGGCAAGGACCCCCCCAACGTGTGTGAGGCCATGCCGCCTCGGCCCGCGGCCTCGAGAGGCACCCCCTGCTGCAGCCGAGCCCAACCCTGTCTGATCCTGGCCGCCCTTTGCTGGCGCGGCCACCTTGCTGACTGGGCTGCCTTTCCCGCCACCTCCAGGAAACTGCCTGCGGTTTACCCACCCGCTCCCATCTCCCCTCCCTCCCGCACTTCTCGATGTGTGCGCCCTTCATTATTCGGTTTGTAAAAGTATAAGCTTGGACTTGGTTTATGCTTTTCCTTGTACAAGTTCTCAAGCCATGTCTCCAGACGTGTTCTGCGTGGCCAGGTAAGTGCACACGAGAGAGCAGTAGCCTGACTCCCTCAGGAAATGTGAATAAGCGCCGGTACTGCTCACTTTTGTCCTCGGGCCTGGGCCGACCCTTCCCACTTATTTGCCGAAGCTCCTGCCAGGGCCTTTGAGGTGTATTCGCAATGATCCTGCGAAGTTGGTAGTTTTTTCAATCCCCGTTTTGCTGGTAAGAAAACCAAGGCTCATGGTGGTCAGATGTCTGGCCACAGAGCACATGGGTGGTGGCAGAACAGGGCTCCTTCCTGGCCTCTCCCCCTTGAGCAGCACCCTTCCCCTCCACCGCAGGGCTTCAGACTCGGGTCTGTGCCTTCCCTCCACCGCGTGATCACGGTGTGACTTTTACGAGTCATTTAGCCTCTGTGTATCTGAGTTATAATTTACTAATCTGCATAATCAGGGGAAATAATAATTATTTAATTCACTGGATTGTTATGAACATGATGTAAGATAATAACTATCACACAAGGGAAAGCATCTTATAGAATCTGAGACACTCGTGAAGGTGGGATTTTCTTCTTCTGCTTGTGCATGAAGGTCCTGCTCGTGCACCAGAGAGGCAGGCCAGAACCAGAAGCCTCTTGTCCTGCCTGGCCTTCTCCTCTGATGCTCAATCTGACCCACCCTCCTCCCCTCCCGGGCACTCCTGCCTTGGAGCTGTGCTGCCACCATGATGACAGCTGCTCGGGACATCCCGGCCCCCACGGACATCCAATGAGCTCTCACCATATTTGCTCGCTGAGGTCCTTGAGACTGTGGAGTTGTTCACTGTGTTATAGGCTGTCACCTGCTTGGACACTAAAGCCACCACAGAACCGTCTGGCACCTACAGGGAAAAGGCTTCTAAGAACCTGGACACAGCAATTCTGCCACCCCGGGAAATAAGGACAAGTCAGGATTAACTTGGTTCCAAGGGGCAATCGGTGCCTTGCTGGAGAACTAGGGGACTTCGGAGGCTATCCGCTTTCCTTTGAGCAAAACGAGACATAGATCTGAACGCCGAATGATATTCTGAGCTCCTCCTGCAGTCTCTGCCCTATAGCTTCCCTGAGAGACCACCCGGAAGAACCTCTAACGAGGGCTTTTCCCTGGGGACTCTGCCCACACCATGTGGGACACGTGCGCACACGCTATCTCCTAAGAGGTCAGGGCTCTCTGGTTCCTTAGCTGGGTGACGTCCATTTCCCCTGGGTCACTAAGGCAACATGAAGTGCTGGTGAAGCATGGATTTAGGGCTTGGCGTCTAGCCTTGGGGCAACCCTGTTACTCCAGGACTGAGACTTCCAGCTCCTCCCCTCCCACATTCAGCTCACCTGGTAGTGGGCCAGGGTGTTCAGCCGCTTCCAGTCATTCTCGATCTTGGTGGTGATGTCTTCATCCTGCAGGATCATCCTTGCCCCGCTTCCTTGTCGCCACTCTGCAGGGAGAGTGGTGGCATCTCAGAGAGGCCCTTAGGGACTCTCCTGGGGGTACCCTGGGGACACCTGCATGGGTGCCCACACAGCACCTTCTCAAGGGTGCACCCACAGACAGACAAGCGCTCGCGTGGGCTCCTGTGAAAGGGGGGTGCAGAAGCTCTCAATGTAGAGGGAGGGAACCTGAGTTCCCCTGCTGACACTGGTCCCCACAAACTATATGACCCAAATGGGTTAGAACCACCTGACCTCCCCTGCCCACCTGTTTTCTGTGAGTGGCCACATCGGTGAGAAGTAGATGTTCAGCAAATGTCGGCTGAATGAGTGAGGCGTGTAACAAATGCTTAGCAGCGAACAAAGCACTAAGCACGTACAAGGTGACATCGTCACTATGGCACAGCTCATCTGCTCGATTGCAAGGTCTTAGAGCTGGGGAAACCAAGGCTGCAGGTTCAGCCACTGCACACCCCTGTACCTGTTCCAGGGGTGACTCCTGCCCTCCCTAGCTGGCAGGTGAGTCACTCTTGTCAGGGTGATTAAGTGAAGGTGTATGGAAAAATCAGCAAAACCCAATCTCAGGCTTGGTAACACCCCCATCCCCACAAAGTTGTGGATGGTACAAACTTTGTCATCTATCCAACCACCTAATTAGCTGATGTAGAGATACACTTGCATCCCACGTTGTTCTCACGATCCAAACACCTGTGACAGGTGGGCTCACTGACAGATCACATGTGGGGAAACAGGAGACTATTTCTCATCAACCAAATCTCCACCACCATACTTGGTACGAACCCCATGTAGAGAGGAAGTGCACATTCCAGTCTTGGAATGCACACACGGAAACCCACGTGCACTTCAGACACACACCAGCTCTTGTGCATGTCCACGCACATGTATGCACACGTGCACACACACCATTCCATGGACACAAACCAGAAAGAAAAACAGCCTCTTCAATTTGAATGCAACATGTGTTCCAGCCACGAAGCCAGAATCTGGTTTCCAGGCAGCCAGGAACCTGCCCAGTGCCTCACAGATGCTTATATTATATTAATCCTTCTGAAACATGCAAAGAGCGCTGGGCTGTTCAGAATGTGGTTAGGTGCTGGGACGAGTTGCCCGACTGTCCCTGCCTGACCTGCCAGGGATCATTCCTGTGGCCCACAGAGACACGTTTTCAGATTCCCTAGGTTGGCTCCCTCCTGCCAAGGCTGGGCTGTGGGTCTATAACCAGCCACGTTTGTGGTATAGAGAGTGCTGAGTCCTCCCTGCATTGTGCATTTAGTGTGGCCTGTGCTGCTGTCCCCGCTTCATGGATAGCAAAGTGACCCAGAGAGAGCAGCTTGCCCTTAGGAGTGGCAGAGATGCTCCTAAAATCCAAGTCCTTTGCCTCCGATCCCTGGGGCTTCCCTGCTGCCTGGTTTAGAGCTTAGCATAGCAGAAGGCAAAGGAATGAAAACATAAGGATGATGTGCCTCCTCACCGAACTGGAGAAGTCTTTGGGGACATCGCTTAGTCTTGTTGATGCAGCTGAAAGTGCTCATGGTGACTAGGACCTGGGGCAGTTAAGGTAACGGGGAAAGGGGAGATGCTCCGCTGAGGCACCTGGTCACCAGGTGTGCGTTCACTATTGTGCTGTTTTATTTCGGTTTTTTTTATTTTTTATTTATTTTAGGTAGGTAGGTATGGATGTATTTTCTAGTGACTAGAGCAAAGGAAGAGGGACATTGTCCAGCTGCTCATATGGTTGATAAGCTGTGCAATCAGATCCTGGGGAAGGCCAGCCTGGGTGGAGGTATGTGGCAGTGGGTCCCTGCTTGCAGACTGCATGGCACCCAGTTAAGCCGGAGGCTGTGTGGGAGTAGGTGGGGCTGGGTGTGGGCAGCAGCACAGGGACAGCTTCAGGGCACGTCACAGAAAACAGTCAGCACTCCCCATGCTGGGGTGGGGAGAAGGACGAGATGGATGAGATGGACTAAACTCTGGGCACTTAAGCCCACCAGCAGGGCCCCAAGGGAGTCTCCTCCATGGACGTGGCCCTGGGGCTTGCCAGCACTGGAAGGGGATGGGACAGCCTAGAACCAGACCTCTAGATTAGTAGTGGCACCAGCACCACTCGCTGACAGAGTTGTAGCACATCTTAGTGGGATCTGAACAAGCCGCATGGCCTGCCAGCTAGGCGATGACAGTGGGTGACTGATTCTGGACTCCATGTTGTGCAATTCCCCTCAGAGTTGTGCCATGTGCAGCCCATGCAGCCACATTCAGCACCCCTGGCTCCGAGTCCTGTCCCGCGATTATGTGAGTAACCGAGAGTCTGCCTGCCTCCATGTCCCCATCTGGAAAAGTAGTGCAGAGAATGGCCACATCTCCCCAGGGTGGCCAAGGGATGACAGATTGTCCTTGAAAATGGTGCTGCCAGATGCCTACCAGCAGGGCTGGGACAGAGTAAGCACTTAATAAGTCTTTATCAAATGAATGAATTAGTAAATAAATGAGTGAAGAGGAGCAGTGAGTGAGTGACGGTGGCCTATTTTCCAAGCAGTTAAAGGGGATCTTCTGCCTGTGTGTTTGTGTCCCATCAGACAGATAGTGGCTACAGCTAGAGGTGAACTGTGAGCTGCTCTGTTAGCAACTGGGACAGAAGATGCTCTGAACTGAGAAACAGCCAGGCACGTCCACTGCCAGAAAGGAGTACCTTCTTAAGTCAGCATCATTCATTCTTCCAAGGTTACAAGTGGGAAAACGAAAACCCCAGGTGGGGGAGATGGAACTAGAGGCCATCGTCTCCAGGCACTGCCAGTCCCACTAGCCAGATGACTCCCCTTCCACGGGTGCTTACGGGGCTTTTCCTTCTGGCCAGGCACTGGGCTGGACCATCAGGACGCAAAGACAAATAAGCAAAGTCCTGTGCTCTAAGGCAGATGCGGACACACCTCGGGCACTGCAGCATGGTGCCTGCCACTTACGGGGCAACCTCTGCCAGGGAGTGTGGGGGAGGGACAGTGATGGCTGGACGCAAACCCTGAACTGTAGCCAGACTGTGACGCCAGCAGGCAACTGCCTGTGCTCAACCTCACACTTGGAGCTCTAAGAGCCCCAGCAGGCCACTGGCAGTTTTCCGTGGGCTGTGCACTTCCCTTTCCAGCAAGTCCAGGTGCGCTCATGGCGTGGCCACCATCTTCCCTCCCTGATGAGACTACCACAGGGGTGCTGTGCACTGGGCGGTAGGGGACAGGCACAGCAGGCAGGAAATACACTTGTCACCGACCCCAATGCTTGGCCACAGGGTCAAGGGCTGCAAGAAGAGGCTTCCTGGGTGTGCTGGTCCTGAAGTCCCTCTGGCCCAACCCCTGCCTCTGATGGGGGTACAGCGAGAGGCTAGGAGGTAGCAACTGTTGTCTTTTTGCAATTATCTCAAAAAGTTAGGAATGTTGGCCCAATATCATATTGGTATTTGGTTAGTGAGCTGGAATCTAGAACACTTAGCCTTGCTTTTAGATTTCTCAAGCCTGTTATGTTTGTCACCTCTTATACAGAAAAATTGTTATTTGAATTTTTCTGAAAAATCAAGAAAGGTAAAAAAAACCAAAACAAACCATGAAGTTATGTGCCATCCCCAACCAAGTCCTGATGAAAGAAAGCCCAGAGGGACGAGCAGCCGGTGGTGGCAGCTCCATCCCCGGGGCCTGCAGGAGAGAAGCGAGGGTCACAAGTAGCCCCCCTCCAGCTGAGCCCTGAATGGAGGGGAGCGGGTGGAGTACACAGGAAGGTGCCCACGCTCCCCGGCACAGAGTAACTGAAGTGGGCCAACATGCCACTTCCTAGTGCCCGCTCTTCCCTGTCCAAGAGCCTTACCCCGTTGTCCAGAACACACCTTCACTTCCATTTCTACCTACTTCCCTTCCTTCCCTGAAACCCTCATCCAGGCCAGTTACGGCCTCTGCTTTCTGAAGACTCATCATGAGATATCTCAAGAAAGATCAAACGTTGGACATGGGCTGAGCCTTCTGGAACGTTCTTTACACTTCATGACCCCTGCTCAACAGAGGCGTGAGCCACTGAGCTCTGCTGAGTAAAACACGGACCAGGAAAGGCCAAGGTCAAGGGCCGAAGTAGGTAGCTTCTGCCCATTCCAGGAGCAGTGCCCTGTCCCAGACTGCACGGCAGGGGTGGCAGACTCTCAGCCCCACCACGGGGGGGAAGAACCCCAAGGGCGGCCGGGTCAGCTGGGCGGGGGCAGGCCTGCTACCTTTGGACATGAAGGAGAGACCCTGGTTCCCCCACAGTTGTGCGTCTGGTTAGATCAGCCCCACGGCACCCTACAGTGAGGGCTGGGTCTAACTTTGTGCTCTGTTGCACGTTCAATGTATGCTTGGTTTCAATAATAGTAATGAAAATAAATAGAACCCAGGTCTCCTAGTCCCTGGTGCAGCATTCTTTTCACCAGATGGGCTCCTTCTGTCTTGCCTGTAAAACAGCCCTAAAAATATCTCCCTCTTGAGTCCACACATTGCTCTGTGCGAGGTGACGACAATAGAACAGCCGAGGGGCAATGTCGTGGCTCAGCCAGTGGCCTGTGTCCCCCAGGTGAATGCTGAGCCTCCTGGACACTTTTTACCTGCCCTTGGGGCACAGCGAGAGGTTGGAAAGCACCAAATGATGCAAGGCACACAGCTCAGTGTGGCTGGCATGAACCCTGGGCTAGTATGACTCCTCACAGACACCTTCTTCTACACACCATTACTCCTACAGCCCCACCTGACGGGAGCCATCTCCTGTGGCATGTTCAAGGCCCGGGTCCAGAAAGCCTGCGAGCCACGTGCACTCACTCATCAAGCAGTGTTTACGGTGCCCCGCGTGCTAGGTGATGTTCCAGCCCAACAAGGCAATGGAGTAAAGCACGAGCCCTTCCGGGGGCCTGTGGTTGGGGCTAGGTGGCCACAAGGGGGAGGAGGGGCTGTGGGAGTGGGTGGGAATGGCTGCCTGGGCTGAGCTG